AGTGGAACAGGTTAAACTAGAGAATGCAATTCCTGAAGAAATTGCTAGTGGGAATGCTTTATGCTGAAAGTGTCACGATCTGTCTGTGTTGTGTTTTGTCTTGTCTTTTTCTGTCTCTGGTTTCCTGTTTTGTTTTGAAATGTTTTCCTCCTTGTGTCTTCTCTGTTCCTTCTTCCTGTGTTTGCCTTCCTGTCTTAGTTTCCCTGGTGTGTCTGATTGTTTGATTGTGTTCACCTGTTGCCCTTGTGTTTCTGCCTCCCTTACCCCAGCTGTGTCTCGTCTTGTGATTACCCCTCTCTGTATTTAGTCTTGTCTTCCCCTGTGTGCCTTGTCGGTTCATTGTTTGTTTCTCCTGTCTCCCACCATGTTGGTCACGGTCAGTTTTTGTAGTACCTATGTGTTTCATGCCATGCTATTGTTCAGCTTTTGGAATAAAGCTCGTTTTTGTTTCTAGACCTTGTTACTTTGTTTTGTAGTCTGCATTTGGGTCCTACAATTTCCACGCATTCCTAACAGAATGAACCGACCAAATATGGACCCAGCGGATTTTGAAGATTTTAAGGTAGATCTGTTCGATCTAGACTTTACCCTTCAATGTTATTATGTCGAGTGGAGTGGAACCTCGTCAAGAAGGGACAAAGAGGCTATCCTCAAGAAGGCACAGATGGCGGTGTCTAACATGCCATGGCTGAGGAGCTCGTTGCCTGAATGGCTCAGAGTTTTTTCACGTAGCCCCGAGTGCCAGTCTCCATTCTCTGACCCTTTTTTGGGATCCCGTCTGGCGTTTGGAGGTCCACGGAGCCTCCAAAAGACCTCAAAGAAACGCAAGGTCAGGAAGCCAGCTCGTGCACCAGTACCGGCCCACACAGCCATGGATTACGTGCACCAGTACCGGCCCACACAGCCATGCTTCCGTGTTCGATGACCTGGCTCACACAGTCAGGTTCCAGGCCGTCTCTCCTCTTGATCGCCCTCTCTCTTCTCTTGATCACCCTCTCACTCTTCTATCACCCTCTCTCTCTTCTCTTGATCGCCCTCTCTCTCTCCTCTTGATCGCCCTCTCTCTCTTCTCTTGATCACCCTCTCACTCTTCTATTACCCTCTCTCTTCTCTTGATCGCCCTCTCTCTCTTCTCTTGATCGCCCTTTCTCTCTTCTCTTGATCGCCCTTTCTCTCTCCTCTTGACCGCCCTCTCTCTCTCCTCTTGATCACCCTCTCTCTCTTCTCTTGATTGCCCTCTCTCTCTCTTCTCTTGATCGCCCTCTCTCTCTCCTCTTGATCGCCCTCTCTCTGTTCTCTTGATCACCCTATCACTCTTCTATCACCCTCTCTCTCTTCTCTTGATCGCCCTCTCTCTTCTCTTGGTGTGTGTGTGTGTGTGTGTGTGTGTGTGTGTGTGTGTGTGTGTGTGTGTGTGTGTGTGTGTGTGTGTGTGTGTGTGTGTGTGTGTGTGTGTGTGTGTGTGTGTGTGTGTGTGTGTGTGTGTGTGTGTGTGTGTGTGTGTGTGTGTGTGTGTGTGTGTGTGTGTGTGTGTGTGTGTGTGTGTGTGTGTGTGTGTGTGTGTGTGTGTGTGTGTGTGTGTGTGTGTGTGTGTTACCAAGAAATGGCTTAACCCCGCCATGAAAAATGATGATAAAGTCTGCCAACTCGCGGAGTAAATTGCACAGACAGCAGTTAGTAAGATTGATTTCAGCAGCCACTTGTCTGCAAATACCGAAGACTAGAAACGGTTTTGAAATTTTTTGTCACGTAGTGATCGTCTTCTCAATAAAACATCTTTGATAATGTCTTCTGGACAATCAGAATCACGATAACGGCGTGGTGTTGTTGCAGGAAGTCCCGACGGAGAATACTTTTGCGGTAGTACATCTCTATACATCGATACAACACTACGTGTTGATAGAAATCAACACGTAATGAAATAAGACCCCACGGTTTGATGATTGATAGGTGTGTGGGCTGTCTTTCATTTTGACACACAGAACAATGGGGGTTATCCACCCTTATCCACAATGTAAAGTAATTCACACAGCCTCTTCCATCTTCTCTCTGTGAGGAGCAGCAGGTTCAGCTTTCAGAACAAAGTAACACAAAACTAAAATGGCATTCATTTTTTTAAATGTGTAGTAATAGATTTATTTATTTTTCTTCTCAAGAGAGTACCAGAATGTGTATTTTATGTTAGTATTTCAAAAAATCTCCTGGGGGAGAATCCCCCCAGACCCCCCTGCAGGGGTTGGGTTTTCAGCATGTCAACTCTTTCACTTGTGGGGAAATTGCAGGATTGGCTCCAGGTTGCCCTTTTTATTTACTACAAGACAAATGTGCCTTTTTATTTCATACAGTTCAATTTGGATTGAGACAGGGAAATAATCTAAACCTCACGCGTGGCGTTTCACTGTCAAGGGGGGGCGATATAGCGTGTATGTAATTACATTGCAAATACTGACTTGAGCCCCACCACTGTATGGGTTAGCCCTACCATAGATTACCCAACAAAAATTGTGTGTGTGTGTGTGTGTGTGTGTGTGGTTGGTTGGTTGGTTGGTGAAATCTTAGACCTAGTCAATACTCAGGAGATATTCAATTAGAATGATCAATCAATAAAATGGTGGAAACAGAGTTGTCTTTCTGGATCTTTATTTGAAGCTTCAAATAAGGCACAGGTCTTACGGAGTACAGAGTATTCTGAAAGAGTGCGCACAGAGAGAGAATTGCGCATAGGTTTTATAGCATCTTTGTCAGTCCACAGTTCAACAATAACTCGTGACTTGTCACTCTGGGGGGGCTGGATGGGCAGATAAGCTAAAACCCACATTCCGGAGGAACAGACGGTGGTCTTTTTTTTTGGTGGGGCTCTTGACGTACCGTAAGTGACCTACCCGGGGGGTCCGGGGGGTTTCCCCCCGTAAAATTTTTTCGAGAAATGACCCCTTAAATGATGACTTCTGGTGATGTTAGAGGGGGGGGGAAAGGAGAAATCGAGGCTTAAAAATATGAGAAGACTGATCAATACCTCCATAATCTTCAGTGTGGAAAATATTATTTATCAACCTGAACATCTACTACTTTACCAGGAATTTGTGTTCTCAGAACTGGTCTGTTTTTTTCTTTCTTAAAACTGTTCATGTTTTATGAACCAACACCTTCACCAAGTAGCTTACAGTGAACTGCATGTGAGATATAAAATTAATAGCATCTTTTCAGTAGCATTAATTATAAATATTTAAGTGGTTCAATACAAGTCACTACAGCATTTCAAACTGAACTGTGAATAAATGCAATTTAAAAAAAATAACCACAGCACAAAATGTCATAAATTGTGTTTTTTTCTTTGTTTCTCTGAGGATTATTTACAAACAGGCTTATTTACATATAGCAATAACTCAGAAATGAAAAAGCTACATCGTCTAACACGAACAACCAGTTAGCATAATGATAATATATGTGTTATGTACAATGTAACTGGCAAGGCTAGAGCAAGAAAGAACATAAAGTTTGCAAAAGGTTTAAATAACTTCAAGTATCTGTCTTCAGATTACGTGGAGGTTTTAGTCCGATGGGAAGCAGATTTTAAGCGACACCGAAGATAAACCAAAAATGTGGTGGAGCTGCAAACCGTGTAGTGTTGCTGGGACAGAACAGGAGCTATAACCGTTGGAAAATACATCACAGACAATGCAACAAACGTGGAGACAGAACAATCACTTCTGTGATAAATGCCCACTTATTAATAAACTTCTAACAACCATGGGAAACCTCCTCTCTACATATAAAGTGATATCCAAGCATGGGAAACAAAAGACAGCATTTACCTGTTTGCATCCAGCTAGCCAAGCCTTTCTTGTGTACCAGCTACTTGTGAAGCCTTGTGTATAAATGTTGTCTTTTTCACGAGATTGCTGCGATATATTCAAATCGGGTTGGTCCGGTGCAAGGTCTTTAAGCAACAATTTATCTGCCAAACTTCTCCTTTCGAAAGGATTGGAGATTAGCTCTTGAACAGAATTAGGCGGGGACCGAGGTCCGGAGACTCCACCTGCACACGAAGCCATCCTCATCAACTACTGCGTCAACCGGATACGAGTCACTGTCCAAACTACTCACAGACTGCACTGGGCGCTGACATTGGCGCCCGGTGACCGTCATCTTTGACGACGCTGATTGGCTGAAATTATATTTTCGCGGCATAGTTTACACGTTACAGATAGCAACAGTCAGCTGCTGGTGGCTGCTGCTGCACTGGTTGAAGGCTCCTCTCTTAGCGCCCAGACGAGAGAAGGTGCATGGGCAAGGCCAGGCAGGAAACATGTGACTTATCAGTAACTTTAGACATCGTAACACAATTTTAAACGAGATTTTATTGTAGATTATACATTTTACTGATACCAATTATATAATAGTTACCTTGTTCATTAAAAATAAAAATAAAAACATATATATTTTTTTAAACATTTTTTTTTGTTTTTATTTTAATTTTAATTATTATTTTTATTTTTTTTCAATATGGGAAGAGGTGGGGCGGCGCCCCTAGCGCCCCTATGGACCGGCCGCCACTGGACAACTGCATAGCATTTTACCATATTAGGTAACACATAAAGTTAGTTTGCACATCATATAAAGTTTACACTACATATAGAGTTTGCCATTACATATAAAGTTTATAAGTATACACTGTTATAAAGTTTTCCACTACAGTGTGTGTGTGTGTGTTGTACATTCCTGCTTTTTTTACTTCTTGCACCACAATTCTTTCTCAATGTTCTTCCAATGAAACTGTCACCCTGTCAGGGTGTGTGACTTCCACAGAACTGATCAAAACACTCACACCCATAAACACACATGATGCGTGGACTCATTTGGCTTTGATGATTGTTTTAGCATGAATTCAGAATCCTTTTCCTTGAAATATGACTCCTCCCAGGCAATGATTGCACAATGACCCACAGCATCTCTGTTCTCTTTAGAAAAAATCACTTCACTTCTCAGGTAGGCACACCCACCAAAAGCAGTCAGACGTCTCCATCTTCTTTATAAAGCAGCTGCAGTCTGCCTCCTGCACACAGCTGCTGATCAACCACCAGACGAGGTAAGAACACACTCCTCTTGCAGGAGCAGAACTCTGCTTTAAAATGTTGCCTTTTCAGACTTTCTCAGTACAGATTAATGCTTGAACAAAAAAACATTTACCGTATTTTCCGGACTATAAGTCGCACCATCTAAGTTTAAGTCGCTCTTATCAAAAAACGTGTCATTAATGTTCCTGCTGCTGTGTTTCATGTTGCTGCTGCTTGCCTGAAAAAGTGTGAATATAAGATCCACCTCTCAGCCTGGCTGATGTAAATAAAAAGGGGTAGCAATAATCTGTAATTTTGAGGGTGTGGATCAAGAGATGTTTAACAAAACATATTTTTGAGAGATATTTGGAAGTTGTCAGCTTTTTTTGTCAGAAGAGCTGCCTGTCAAATGCAACGAAAATGAAATAAGAATGTGTGTGTTTTGTGCTCTGTGTGTCTGAACTGGTCTTTCCGTTGCACAGCAATCATGGCTGTGGCAATCGTTGGTGCAGCTGCTGCACTTGCCGCTGCAGTTGCTGCAATTGGACAGATACTTAGTGAAGTAATACCAACACATCGACAGTGTGACATTGAGATTGTGAATGATTGTACTACCTACACTCTTTGTAACCCCAGGTAAGTGTGTTTTCTGTCTTCTTGTAGGATAAGTTCTCCTCAAATATTCTCTGATCAATAAAGTTTTTCTTCCCCCTCTATGAACAGGAGGTACACTTCAAGTGGATACTGCACTACTTTATCACAGACTGTTGCCCCTCTCAGCTCTGGGAATGCATCGTTCCAAAAGAATGCAAACACAGCTCTAGGAGCTGTTGGCGTCTTTACCTACGATCTCCTGAACAACAGTACAAGTCTGACAGATGAGACGATAGCTGTCATGTTTTCTGTGCCATATGACTATAACTGGTACTCCAACTGGTACGCAGTGGGAGTTTTTAATAAGAGCATATGGTGTGATTATGATCTTTATGATGAGATGTACAACCACACAGAAATCAAGTTTGTCAGAGGTAAAGCGAGTGGCAACCATGGTCTCACTTATAAGGGGAAACAAGTCACCATCATAGCAGGAATGTCAAACACCACACACAGTGTCATGAAGATGCACGTGATGCAAAACTAAAGATGAGTGCATCAAGTGCTCTCAATAATGAATCATCAGGGCTGGTAACAAAGTTTACATTTGCTCTTGCACTTCGCTGCATTTTGGGGTCACCTCTGTTGTATAACAAAAGTCACATGACTTGAAAGCATGCAATCTGTTAAACTACTCTTGCAAACTTGTAATCTCTGTGATCAGTAAATAACAATACATTTAATCTACTCTTAATGTTCATCTATTCACCTTTGAACATGTACAATTAGTTTCACTTTTCACAAGTTCATTTTCAACTTCATCACAATTACTAATGTTTTAACCTATCATCCCTCCGTATGTGACGTATAACACCAACAAATGTCAAATAAAAATGACCCATAAAGCTGAACTGAACCTGTGTTCTCTTTTGTTCTTGACAGTCTCTTTGCCTCTACCTGTTTATCCATTTTTTTAAACATTAACTTTGAGTTAACTGGCCTGCACACAGTGGCGGCGCCAGGGTATGGCTGGGGTAGGCTACAGCCATACCAAGAAATGGCTTAGCCCCACCTTAGCCCCACCATGAAAAGTGATGCAAATTCAATTAAATAATAAGCGAAATGCTAAATGTTGAGAACACGGATTGCGAAAATATACGGGTCGTGTCCACAGCACACAAACTGATCCTGCTGTAACAACAAGTGCACGTTACTGATGCAATATGGTTGAGACCATTCGGGCTTATGCTATAAGAGGGGTGCAAGGAATAGTCTAAGTAGTGGGGGAGTTTTATACACTAAAGGTGTGGAAATTCTCTGGCGTTATAATATCAGCGCGGCCGCGGTCAGATCAAAATGCCTCCGAATGCAATTTGAATAGACCTACAGCCAATCAGAGCAACGCAACGTTGGATCTGCGTCATGCCTTATTGATTGAGATCAATCGAAACCGCCATTCAGTATCCCTATTGGATCTTCAACGTGTACTATCATACGTCACGTTCACAGTGATCCCTTTTTATTTACTACAAGACAAATGTGCCGTTTTATTTCATACAGTTCCATTTTGATTGAGACAGGGAAATAATCTAAACCTCACGCGTGGCGTTTCACTGTCAAGGGGTGCGATATAGCGTGTATGTAATTCAATTGCAAATACTGACTTGAGCACCACCACTGTATGGGTTAGCCCTACCATAGATTACCCAACAAAAATGCTCTGGCGCCGCCACTGCCTGCACATGATAACCAATTTTCAGACAAAGGTAGCGGTCACATCCTGCCCCTCTCTAATCTTGGCATCCTCGGATCCATGCATGTCTCTTATTTATAATTTCCTCGCTCCCCGGTCGAACGAGAAGTTGTTTTGGTGCGCCATCTTGGGCGAGGAGCGATAACCATCACTGATCTGATTTATCTCAACATCAGTGCAGTTAAACAGCGGAGTGGAGACACATAACACATTAAACTCAAGGGAATCCCTCCTCAGTTTTTTCAAATGAATTATCATCTGAAAATAAGTGATAATACATCTGAACAACAAAGCAGACCACATACGTCATATATATATATCTTTTTCACATTTTCATTCAGACTGACCATTTTTTAGCGTCAGATTTAACAGCCTACTGTAACAAGTTATTTTAATTTTTCCAGAAATGATTTACTTTCCAGAAATTAGACCTTGTCAGTCTCAGAGGCTCCACGGTACTGCTTCCCTGCACTTCCCTTCTGTTTTTTTACAGTTTTTCCCCCAGAAATGTAACAGTTTTTTATTGTATTTCATAATTACAGGAAATCATATTAATATTACAAGAATCAACGGTTAATTGAAATGTGTCATGTATTTTAACAAAAAAAAACTGTAGAAATGGAATACATTATTTATCTGTTTTTTAGCAGTTTTTAAATGCAAATACAAAACTAACCGTAAAAATAAACGATTTTCTGTTGGCTAAACTAGCTGCATTTTCTGTACATTTACTAAAAAATACTTTTGTTATGGCTATATATCACTGTCAAATACATACAAAATTCTGTTAATACTCATTTAAAAAATGTATAATTGCAAGAAAAGATATGAGTAAAGAAAGAAATATTATGTAATTTTGCTTAATTTAACCACTACTTTACATGACAAACTGAAAAAACACAGGTATTGACTATCCTATTATAGTAAAAAAACTCAATTTTAACACATTTTGACTTGTATTACTTTGAGGATTGAATTGTTAAATATGTGAATTTCAGGTTATAAAAACTGTGTAAAACCATAGAGTTAAATACAACAACAAAAAAGTTGACTGTTATTAACATGTTGGGTGCGAATTCCTACCAGAGCACAATACAGATATAAAATGATGCTATAACCCACAAGTAACAGCCATAGACTGTGGGTTATATAGGATATATTTGTCCATGCCATCATACATCTATAAACTAGCTCATAGCTGTCAGCATTCACTGCAGGCAAACCTAATGTGACCATTCACTTATGATTTCTAAGTAGAAGAAGAAGATGAATATATACTTTATTAATCCCTCAGAGGGATATGTCTTCCCCCACTCTGTTGTGTTTAAACACATTACACACACAGGGAGGATATACAAGCACTAACAGACCGACAGTAACATTGACCTGCGACCAACGCCACTAATTATTTTAACGCGATTAACGCACACGTATTTTTTGTCCTCGGCCGCCCCGTAGTTTCAGAGCGCATCGAGTTTAAAATACCATCTACAAACTGATGCTGACAGCCCCGCTCCTGCCGCCCGCTTGTGGCAGACCACACTTCCACGCTCACCGGCAGGCCCGGACTGGCCATCGGGAGGACCGGGAGGGTGTGTGTATGTGTTGCGCGAGCGAGGCGCACCTTACGTGCTGTTGTTGTTGTTGTTAGCATCTGGTGCTAGCTAGTGTTAGAAGTATTCGTTGTTCTCGCGCCCAGGAGAGAAGCTTAGAATGAAGAGACTAATGGAGTCTCTGGTGAGGTTCAATTTGGTTACTTTAATTTAAATGGCGCGGTGATACAACAAGCAGAGGGTAAGAGGAGAGACAGAGCAGCTGTTGCCTCGCCGGGGTGAAGGGGTGAAGAAGGGTCCCGAGACAATCCTCGTCAGCTGGTTATATCCCCCCGTAGGCTCCTCCTCGAGGGCAGGTTCGCGTTGCTGGGGGTCGTCTTAAAGGGCCCATGTCATGGCCATTTTCACTGATCATAATTACATTGTTGAGGTATACTAAAATAGATTTATACTGTGCAATTTTCCAAACTCACATTGGTTTCGCATACAGCATCTCTCTAAAGTATGTGTATTCAGCAGTATTCACTCTCTCCACTAAACGACTCGTTGGAGCTCTTGCCCCCCCCTCCCTGTGAGCCTAGTGTGCTCCGATTGGTCAGCTCGGCCACTCTGTTCTGATTAGTCAACCACCAGAGAGGCTCCGCCCATGTCTAACAGTGCTTTTTTTGGCTCGCTCTCAGAACATCAGTCTTATAATGGCGTCGGTACAGCCGTATATTTTATACGCTAACTAACCGAACTGTACCTACAACTGTTGTTATAGAAGAGTGTGATGGCCCCAGGGCCTTTGTGCAGGTGTGTTGCAGGTCTTACGATGGGGTGGAGCTGAAGAGGCTAATCAGTGCGATCACGGACACCTGGCCGGAGCCGAGGTGCTATTAAGCCCAGCTGCCCGGAGTCACACGGCGGCCCCTGTCTCTCTCCAAAGCGGCTGCAGAAGGACGAACTCGGCGATCCTCTCCCCTCGACCACCTATCTGCATTTACCACAATAAATGTGCCGTGGTTTTGTAAACTCGTGTATGTCTCCTTGTCTTTCCGTTGTGGCCTACGAGCCGGTCATAACAAAGAGTAAGTTATTTTTACCTGTAATAAACTACTACTGTTTGATGAGAAATCAAATCATGGTTTGCTATATATGAATGATAAGTTATAGGAGCAAATAATTCAGGGAAGAAAGGATAGGCCTACTAAGTATTTCCATTAAACTTTATTTTTAGAAATGTACAAAATGAACATAAATATACATATATACACGGTATATCATCAATTCCTCCCCGTTGTCGGCATCTTGCCTATCGCAGCCGGGGCTTTTTAGGACGATGCATCAGTGTGGTAGTCCCGTCATGTATTGTCCGGCAGGATCTGGCTGGACGAAATCAAATGCAAATCACAAAATATTAGAGAAACTTAGTTGTTTTAGATTTGTTAGTAGTAGTTGTGGTAGGAGTGTGGATCTATCTAATCCATCTATCTAATGAACACAGTAAGCTTGCCAGCTAATATGCTAACCTAGCTTTGTTTACTTTGGTAGCTAACACGATATGAACGCTAGCTCGGAGGAACGGCAACTATAATGTAGTGTAATAAAACTACTATTAACAAAAGCTAGTGGTTCATATTAGGCTAGCAATAACGTGTTTATAATTGCAATCTTATACGGGTAGTCTGCTACGTTCGGTCATTCATTGTAACTGGCATGAATACATTGTTTTGCGCTAGCATGTATAGCTAGCCTCGTTAGCTATACATGCAGTATGTACATGTACTGTCACAATGTACGGTAAATCACCCGGAGTATACTGTATGAGGATTCCGTGTGTGACTGCAGACATTCTCCTGCCATGACAAACATGTAAGGCCATCTGCTGACATTGTAGTTGATATATTTAAACGCTAGCAACGTCGTTAGCCCAGTAAGCTGGACTTGTTTAGTGTAATAAAACCACTATGAACAAAAGCTAGTGATTCATATTAGGCTAGCAAGAACGTGTTTACAATTGCAATCTTATACGGGTAGTCTGCTACATTCATTGTAGCTGGCATAACAAAAAAAAATTCCCGAGCAAACCCATGTCTAGCTCCGTTGGTTAGCTCGGTAGCATACACGCTACGCCAGCTATAATGTAATTACGTTTCATGACTGACCGTATGGCAAATCACCCGGAGTATACTATCTATGAGTATTTCGTGTGTGAATGCAGACATTCTCCTGCTATGAGATACATGTATGCAAGGCCATCTGCTGATATTAGAGTTGATATATGGAAACGCTAGCAACTTAGTTAGCACAGTTAGCACTATGTCAATGGCTTAGCAGTCCGACACAGTTTACACATTTAAACAGTCTTGTTTGATAAATACACAAATAACAATGCAAACTTACAGGTTGTGTACCCGAATCTTCCCCTGCTCCAAACGGTCCAAACAAACTAGGAATAGCATCGTCCTTCAGTTTCAAATGCTGTGCATATCCGGCCTCAAACTGGGCAATGTTTTGGAAGATTTCGTCTGTGAAATGCCGCGCACACAGTAACGTTCTTCGAACCTCTGGAGGAACAGTGTTAAAAAGACATTTCAACCACTGACTTCGTCGTGGTTCTTCC